TTCTTCTCCTCACCTTTCTTCTCCTCACCTTTCTTCTCCTCACCTTTTGCCTCCCCCCCCTGCCTCGCCATCTGTCTTCTTTGCCTTTTTTGCCTTCTTTGCTGGTGTCTTCTTGCCTTTCGATCTGTTGTTTGTCTTCTTCTTCTTCGGGGTTGCTCGCTTGGGCGGATCCGGGCTCTTCTCTGATGATGCTCGTTTTTTGCCTGCACCTTCTTTGATGTCATCTTCTACACGCCCTACTGCCTCCGCGAATGCCTGGTTCAAATTCTTTGGTAAAATATGGTCTGGAGGCTCATCAGCTGGAACAACGCGAGCTTTTTTGGGTAGTGCTTCAAGTGCTTCTTCCACTGCTGCAGGTTTCTCCTTGCTTTCTCCTCTACCTCGCCCTTTACCTCGGCCTCGGCCTCTTCCCTTACCCGGTTTTCTCTTCTTGCTCTTCTTATCTCCGCCTTGCGAGTCGTCTGAATCGTACTCATCTTTGTATTCTTGCTCTGGGTCTTCTGCCATTGTGTCACGGATGGATCTGCGTAAGAGAGCTTGCGCCTGCCATCACGAACGATTGACAGTAACGATGATCATTTTGAACGACATGTGCACGTAGACATAGTCAGGGCTATAGCACTGAACAAACAATGAACTCACATGATATATTCAGATGCAGATGGTGCCTTCAGCAAGTTGCTTTCTACTTCTCTACCGTCTTTCGCTTCGATCAACATCTTAGTTGCTTCTTCGATCTGAGACTGTAAAGACTGGTCGCTGCGAAGGTCCCCAGGAAGATCGCAAAGTGGTTTCCGGTCCTGATTGGGAAAACATGTCAAGTATAACCAGTTAATGTGCAGTGAGTGCCACTCTGATATTTCAATGATCAATAGTATGCAGCAATGTCTATATACGTACGGTCCTGGTGAGTTCCTTTGGGTTTCACAGGCGCTTTTCCTTCTGCTTTGTGTTTCCTGTTGATCTCCTCATCTGAATCAAGCTCAACGTCAACTCCAACCGGTGATAGCCGTTCACCTGATGGCACGGGAATTGATGGGTGCGGCTTACTCACGGTCGCACTGGCCGGATCTACAGGTTGATCTGGTGGTGGTTCAACTGGTGGATCTGGTGGTGGTTTGATGGGCTCAGCAATACCGGTCTCGGCTTTCGTTTCCGCTTTGGTACTCTCAGTGCCTTTGCCCTGGTCACTGGCATTCTCCTCGGGTGGAATCAGGGGTGCGTCATCCTCATCCTCATGATATTCAACATGCTCGTGCGGAAGAACTGGTTCCACTACCTCGTCATCGGTGGGGGCTTCCTCCTCGGCCTGCTCTTTAGACCCCTCCCCTTCCTGAATCTCACAACCCACCTCAGCATCATCCCCAACTGCCATCAGTTGGCTAGCATCTTGAGATTCTGGCTCGAAGGGCGGTTGGCTGTCTGGTGGTGGGAACGATGAGTGTTGTGCCAAACTGGGTGACAACGGTACTGTTTCAGCCAGGTCAGGGGGTGCACCATGTGGGCCCGCATCACTTGGCCTACTCGCACTTGCTGACAAGTGTTCCGAGGCTTTGCTTCTATGAAATTTGCCCGACACTTTTGACACCTAGGCCAACAAATGCAATCAATTATTCGAATTATTGAAAAATATAGACACCAAAAATTGTTTCCACTATCGGCCTGAAAGGTTGATCTCCCACGGGTTGGAATCTTTTTCAAAGATTCTGACAATATTCCCCGCTCCTGGAAAATATGCATGACATATGCCACTCATCAACACGTCTAAAAGCAAATAGACACCGGTCGACATGAACTATCGTTGACACCCATGCTATTCATCGGTCCTGGCACTTTAGATATATGATGGACTTCAGGGTGTTCATCTTTTCATGGCCCTTCCTGCACAAATCGGAACGCGCGATGTGTTTTTATTTCATGCGCTCGATACACATGTGACTCATCTATGCATGTGCTACAAGGGTCATTGAAGCTCGCCTGACTTTGCGGCTCCGTTGGTACAAGTTCGACACGTGCGATGCCAGGGTGCGGATGAGCTTTGCCTCCACTCTAACCCATGCCTGGCTGGTGGCTTGGCGAAATAATCGGCCCGATGCAGATGATTGTCATATCAAGCCTGGAACGTCCTAGCGTCCTTTACTCCAGTGGATCGAGATTTAAAAAACCCCAATACTTTTGAATAGAACGTACATCATTGAACTAATTTTTGTCACACATCCCTCTTCCCTGAGCCTGGTGTTGGCCCGGACGGCGGAAGCGCGGATTGAGGTCATAGGTATTGTCCACGTGAGCAAGGGTCTCCTGCAGTATACAAATTCTAGCATGCGCATGTTATAACCTAGCAGCCTCACACATGAATGGTATTAATATATTGTCGCATGCCAGGACTAGGAGCTATGCGGGTTTGAAATGCTATGCTGACGTGTCTGACATGTCAAATGTCCTGAACCTCATGCATTGTGGGTAAATCACCAGCGAAGATACTCAAGTATTGCGCCAAGAAGTTGTAGTTGACATCGCGTTCAACCTTGCACAGAAAGCACGCTTGAACTGACCCGCGAAGTTAGTTTGTTGGATCGATATTGACAATTGACTCATCATGAGGGCTTTGTAATGGCACGGCCTCTGACTCGCTCACAGTTTCTGCCCCCACGAGATCCACGAAGGAAAAGGCCTACGACGACGCGCTTTTGTAAAAGAGATTTATTGTGCACGCATGCATCAGCTTTTAAGCACATGTCCTGCCTTGGATCCCTTCTGTGCTTTGATGTCAGCTCTTCGTTTATTGATGAACCCTTCAGCTTGGCATAGCCCTTCAAAGAAATCCTAGCAATGAAACTTTTGTTTAAGATTGAACATGCTCTGCAATGCAAGACCTAACGCTCACACCTAGTTGATATATGAATTCGACCAACTATTCTCAGGATCATTGCCAGATAATCTAGCTAACTGATCTCATCTAGTCTTAAGAGGTCCAATTACCGCCCAGCTCCGTCCTTCAAGAGGTCAACCCTCTCCATGTTCATCCGGCTTTTGCGGCGCTGCAGCACCATAGCAGCACAAATCGGGCAGGAAGGGCGTTAAAGTTGTAAAATCTAGCTGGCATGTTTAATTAAGATAATTAAGATGGATCCTCATCAAGCCAGGCCAGAGGGCCCCACAACTTCGTCCGGTCTTGAGGCTCAAAACGTCCCTATGCAGGTTTCAGTTCCAACCTTTGAAGCTTCCGGATCCGAGATTTGCACGGATACCGCAAAGAAAAATTACTTATGTCAGTCGAGCGGGTTGGCACCTTCGCATCGTGGTTCCAGCTCAATCTCGTCGCCTGATGAGTTCCAGTAGAGCTCGTCCTCATGGCCTGCATGAGCCAGCAATCAAGCATTGGGAGGTGAAGCATGGCGATCATTCGAAGTCAATCATGTCATGAACAGTGAACTTGACCAAAAAAACATCACGCATGGTCGCGATATCACAATAGACTCCACCGTGCCTTCCAAGCACCGCTTGCGCTTCGGCATGCCATAGGGCACCTGGAGTAGCCAGCTGGACTCCCGACTATGAGATATGACACTTTCCCCAGATCTCAATCACAATAGTTTAGAACATCATCATATTCCATGGGTACTCAATAACAAACGGCCTTGCTTGTAAAGCGATCCCCCTTCAGAGTCGGAGACGCCGGCCTTCAAGCCAAGGTAGTGCACCACATGGCGGCAGAGAGGGAAAAGCGAGCACCGACCAACGATCGACCAAACATGGGATCGACATGGATGGACGGATTTCTGAAACATGATCATGCCATTGGAACAACATGTGCTCAATCAGTTATTTTCAACATTGATCCATGAATGGTCATGAAGCCTGGCCCCTTGAACTGGCAAAGTTCGGGCGCCCACGTCAAAGTATCAACCATTTATGAAGACGAAACTTTGCCTATCCTTGGACCGTGTGGGTATATATATATAGACCCCAAATAGATAGAAAATGATAGAAAAGTAGATCCCCACTCCAAATGTTTTGCATACCATGCCACGGCTGCCACGCTCATCTATTTGGGGAGCACACCTGTCTACATCTCCACCTCTACCTCAAGCGCCCGCTACTCACCGCAAACCACTGAGGTGCAAGTACACGCTCTGCCAGGACTGGGTCGACCGGATCGGCCGAGGCGACCGGGTCGCCCCAGTGGGTTGACGACCACGCTGGGTGCGTGGGTGTGGGTGCAGGTGCGCCGCTGAGGATACTCGAAGCACGAGGTCACAAGTCGAAGCGCTGGTGTCCAAACGGGGGGAATTCACTGAACGTGGGCAAAACCTGGATCTTCGAAACGGCCACACAAAATAGGAACCCACAGACGGCGTTTTCTTTTGTTGGGACAAGGGCGGAAACATGCGGAAACCAGAGGAACCAAAATGATCTGCATGAAATCAGACGTCCGAGCGACGTCTTGAGCATAGCAAGTGCAACCCTTGAAACGTGTGTGAAAAATGCGTCTGGCAAGAACTTTATTAGGCCGTTTGAAGATCCAGGTGTATAATCTGATGTTTCCCTGCTGTGGAGGCTAGGTCCGGATGTGGACACATTCATGCATGACACATTTAACCTACGTTTTGGTGGTTGTTGAAAAGACTGTTTATGGCCAATCCCTAAATGAACCACCACTTGGGATTTCAGCCATTCGAGTCTTGACTCATTGGTGGGGGATGTATCTTCCAGTGTGATGGATGGTCTGGGTTTGGAGCAGCTCGTGGACTTTTTAGGGGTTGACAATCGCATATCAGGCTACACAGGTTAGCAGCCCTTCGCACAAAACATATCACAGCAAGGTAAGAAGATGTAACCCAGACACTCCATGTATGCCATATATGTCTACATTGACCCCTCAAACCACCCCAATGTAGGCATATATGGCATACATGGAGTGTCTGGGTAAGAAGGAAGGCCTGAGTTGCGTGGTTGCTCCTCGGGGCGCGAGCTTGAACTCTGTGGCATGTGAACGTTTTGTGAGATCCATGCCATGTTTGAACTTCATGTAGGCCTAGGCAAATATGACGACCAAACGGTTTGGTTCTATAGTGGTGAATGGCAGAATTCTGCTTTGACTTAGATGCCTCATGGGCATGCTTCAAACCATTTCTCCCTCACCAGCGGCCAGCAACACTGATATACTTTATGGCATTCTATCGACCAACACCCCACTATACGTGAAGAAACCGCTGGCCCACGCTCATTTGACTGGGCAGGACATTTGGATGGACGTGGTCATGAAGCTTTTTGCCGTGTCCTTGGTTTCCGCCGTCTCAGCCTCCGCAGTCTCAGCATGGAAGTGGTCGGTGGCGCTGTGCGGGGCTATGGCGGTCTTGGTGTGGGTCACCAGGCCCTACATGCAGCCACAGGCGAGCCGGAGCGACACCGACTAACATGGAACCGGGCTTGGCATTGACCCTTGGAAGACGCTTTGTCCTCTACAACCCAGTGGCTTTCAGATTCCATTTTGCAGGGATCTACATTTGGTTGATGAGATGGATGGAGTTGGTGATAGTCGGTGATAGTTGGAGTTGTTCATCCAAACGCTTGGTCGACCTGGGCCGCCGAGCCGGCAGGCGTGGTTGGTCCGCCAGCCTCAAAGATCATCCAACCGAATCGGGCCTTCCAAAAGCCATTTGTTTTCCTCAGATAGTAGACCCATCCCGACATCAGAACCAATTCTCGGCCAAGCCCTATGTGAACCGGACTTAGAACTCGCCCCTCGAGTTCTTGAGGGGATATCTATGTGGATCCGAGAGCAGGCGTCAAAGTTCCGGCAGGTCCTTGTTCATATGTGGGGCATGTCTATACCCCTAGGGCTCCAGGCGTACCTCCTCAGAAGGGACCCTCCAAACCCACCTCAAACACCTTCTTAGAAGGCACTTGGCTCCCTAGGGTTACCATAGTTTACCATATTAACGTGTTCCAAGTTTGGACGTGCAGTCTAAGACACCCAGATGGCCCGGCATGTCACCTGAACGCTTACCCATGCATGGCACCACCTGTTGGGTTTTCGGACCAATGTAATCTTCCTTTTCTTGGCCACAATCATTCCACTTCTCGAATTAATTTGCAAAAAGAGTGTAACAATAAAGAAACAAGTTGATAAAAAACACCATTATTCCGATGTCTTAGCAACAGTTCTTTCGTTCACTTCACAGGTGAGCACCCTGCAAAGCCTTAGCTGCTTGAGCTTGGCCGCGACCTCAGTGGCTTTCATCTACCAAATGCCCAACCTTGCACGTGCCGCCTTGCTGACCCCTTTGCTTTTGGTGCTCCTACAGGCGCGGAAGTTCAAGAAGGTGTTGGTTTTCGGAATCAGGAATCACAAGCGCACCATCAACGGGTTATATATATATAGATCTATATATAACTAATATAAATACTGTATACTATATACGACATGAATTTGATGCAATATAGATATGTTGCTATGTATATATTTAATTATATCTAAATAATGACGTGTGATGTCTATGTATGAATTTTGTTTCAACTTGGCACCCTAACCCACGAGAAAAAATAACACCGCACGAAGCAGCTCAATGACTTCCCAACGACCCGCCCCTGTGCAGAACGTCGGATCTCCCCCAGTGCCGACGGCACCAGTTCTCTTGGCCATCTCCCCCAGAATGTCAGCGACGACATCATATGGACGTGTAAAAGCTCCTATAGTGGATTGAGAGTATAGGGCAATTCCCAAAAAGGGTGTTTACATTTTGCGTAGACCACCGTTGAAAAGACATCTTGTACCTTGAAATCACTGTACAAACTGCGTAGTTTGTAGAGGCAACGTCGCCCTCGGATGCTGCCCATGTTGTCTCTCAACAATGGTCACCATAGATGTCGCCCTCTTATATATACAAGACATAATTACATTGTACCCGGACCTTTCAAAGACCATTCGTTTCTGGTTACATCATATCAGAACAAGGCGAAGGAGCAGTTGCAAAAAGGGGTGCCGAACTTGGACGATAACAATGTCCATTCTCCCCTCACCTACTTGTAGGGTCTTAAAAAAACATTTCATTTGGAACTGCTGTTTGCTGGCAAACCTTGTGGTTTTGGTCGCCCTGTGGTACGGTGGTTGTGTGGCCAGGCATACGGCTTCATGAGGCTTCCGCAGTCGGATTGACACAAGAAAACCATGGGAAGAATCAACCTTGGAGCGTTCTCCATCCGTTCTCCCTCGGAGGGATGGGCACAAAGGGGAAGGCTTGTTTGAGAGTGTTTGAGTTTTTTTAGCACGGGAAAGGTGTGAGTCTGGAGTCCGTGCCGGAGAAGCCAAATGAAGCTGAGCTTCTTCCAGCCAAGCTACTCCAACATTTTTACTGTCGACATCTATCGACCTGGCTTACAGAGCATTTGGGGGGGGACAATTTTAGACACAGGTTTGACCTGTGTGTCTGGCGCTGTGCACCATGTGGCGGGTTGAACGTGCCTTGGTCGTGCGCCGTTTGGTGCCTTGCGCTGCCTCGGGCAGGTGCGCTGCCCTGATTGTGAAGAAGCCTTAGCCGAGCGATGCTACGAGGAGATCGATCCATAGGATTCCATCCGAACATGTTCTGTAGACTCGAAAAGCAATCATAAACCCATACTTTAAAGGGTTTTACAGTCTAAATGGGGGGTTGATGAACCAAGAGTCTACATTCATGGTTTTATCCTGTTCATTCACCAGGGCCCAGGGCCAAAAAGTTGTTTTTGATTGACCCATTGACTGGTTGCCGTGTGCGTGCTCGGATTTCGTGTTAGTTCATCATGCGAACACAGTGAAGTAAGTGGACTATGGCAACGCGCGGACCGAATAACATCGGGAAAAAAGGGGTGGCGGAGAGTTTGAAATCGTGTCGCTTTGGATTTAGGTGTCTTCAGTCGATGATGCGACAGGTGCGATGGCTTACAATCTGGGGTTCTTGTAGGGGATAGAAGAGTGGAGAAACTAGATGTGGATGTAAGGGGGGTGCCTGGTGGCACATTGCAAAAAGGGGTGCCGGAGAGAACTTTGTGCCGGAGAGAATGT